TTGTGTGGTTTTCAAGATACTATCTGAGTTTTCCGATTGGGTCAATTAGTGTACTTAATTTATGTTTACAGAATCCTGAAGACGCCATGCGTATATTAGCAAAGAGCGATTCACTAGAAGCTCGCTCGGCTACCGTCTTTACGCTGTTGCAAATGGATCGCGTGGATTTAGCAGTGTTGGTTCTTTCATTGTTTCTTCTTTGAATGTGTTTTTCCTAAATCCATGGGATATTTTTGTTTAGAAAGGAGCTGAAGAAGATGAATGAGATAGATGAAGATGCTACGTTGACTCAGCTCGCGCTTGCTTGGGTGAATATAGCTGTGGTAAGAGTTGTTATCTTTTGATGGCCTCATTATTAAACTTGTCCCAATGTCTTCATTTCACTCCCTGTTTACAATTTTGCCTAGTAAAATTTACGTAGGTAACCTTGCGAGCGCATATGCTTTCTGTTACCAGTACTATCTCTCCAAGTCGCCGATTACTTTACTTGTTTATCGTTCGAAAAAAAAGTTTTTTTTTACAGAACTTTCACTAATATCTACATTTACACTTCAAAATCATGTCAAAATGGATTTTGAAAGCTGTTCGGAGGCTTATTTGGAATTCATTCCCATACCTACGTTCACCCAGTTGAGAAGATAAGCTAGGTGTGTGCGAATGAGGGCGAGGTCAAGACCTCCGATTTTTGATAATTCTCTAGTGGTTATTTGACTCTGACTTTGAATTATCTTCATATCGATTTTGCACCATCCTAAACTAGCACGTAGATAAACGGAAGGGTTCAAAAGCATTGAACTGCCTAGTGTGATCATTAGAATACGATGGACTACGATTTTATATTTATTCCGCACAATAGCAAGTTATAGTGAGGATATGATGTACATACGGTAGAACGTTGTAATTACGGATTTCTTCCACTCAATATGGTTTGTTGCGCTCACCATGAATATTCATTTTGCATCATCTTTTCAATGTAGAGACACAGTAGCACTATGATAGGAGCAATTATCTTTTTAAACTAATGCTTTCAATTAGAGAGCAATCCAAACCTAATTTGAGAGCAGGCTTCATAGTAAGGCGTGAATATGATATTTCTCAGTGTGCTATGCTATTCAGGCATACGTAACTTCGACCCACTATTATATATCTCATCTTCACAGTATGACGTTACAGTGCGAAAAGAGTGTGAAATGATTCATGATTAAGGTGTCATCCGCTCTCCTTTCCCTCCTTTTTAGACGGATCAGCAAAATCTAAAACGTAGTTGATTGCACACTATGAAGAAACTTTTCCAGGGAAAGGATAAGTTGAAGGACGCTTATTACATCTACCAGGAAATGATGGACAAGTATGGACAAAGTCCTCAACTTTTAGTTGCGCAATCTGCAGTCCTGATTCTTCAGGGCAAGTACAAAGATGCTGAAGCTCTTTTGCACGTGGGTGATGAATCTGTTTGAATAAATTCCCAATGTTAAACAAAAATGACCCTTCGTCGTTTAATGTTATGTAACTTAAGAAATTGATCATCTATCATATGAGAAAAGGAAATTGCTGTCGAACTAACGTTGAAAAGTGACAGAGGTTTATTTGTAGGAGGCTCAACTTCGAGACGCAAATAACAGTGAAGCGCTTGTTAATCTTGTGGCAGTTAGTCAGTTTCTTGGAAAGGATTATGAAGTAAGTTCCTTGCTCAAATATTTCCAACCTGAAATGAAGTCTCCATATGATATTTAGGTCATGAAGCGATACATCGCTCAGTTGCGCGATATTGATGCTAAACACCCATGGGTACTCGATTTGGAAGCCAAGGAAGCCTTGTTTGAAGAACTTGCCTCGGCATAATATTTTCAAATATGGAAAGTGAACTCATGTTTAAGTTGTCTGTGATAATCTGTTAACATTTTTTGAGTGGTTTTTGGTGAACTCTACCTGCGCCATTTTCTCGTAACAAATTTTTATTATATCAAGTTCTTTGGAGTATTTATTCTGTCGATGATTAATATAAATGTTCAGTGCATTCCTTATTTGTTTGATAACACGTTTTAGGCGTTTACATTATTTTTGTTTGTTTCATGCTTTGTTTTTATCATTTCCCTGTAACTGGAAAGGCAGCTCACCTGTGCCACAAATTTATGCGACTTTTGAAAAATGTTTTTGAAGAGCTTTTTACTAAGTTTTTTGACAGTATGCCATCAATTACAATAACACTGGGCTGTCTATGATGGTAATACGATTTTTTCTACATCCCAACAGCTCTGTCATCTAACAGTAGTAAATAATATGCATTTATGGTGTTGGAGAACATCAAGAAAAGGTGACGTGGTTAGGCATTGTTCCGAGGAAACAGTCACCACATCGAAGACTTGCTTTTGCTATCTGTTTGTCTTTTCTTATGCTGGTTTGAGCATCAGTTAGCTTGATTTTCTGCGGTATCTCCCTCCTTCCTTTCAGTAATGACCCGTGCAACTTTCGGTTGCAAGGTGTGTGGCGACTTTAAAAAAATCGCGCTAGGACGATGGACTTCACATCAGCCTCACATAGTAGTCATGCTATCTGCCTTGGCTCATTTCCATGGTCTTGATGTCAAAGATATGAAGGAGATCTATAGTTCTTTCCGAATTCGACGATTAGTTTGCAGAGAGCACTATGTGGATGCGGTAAGCTTTTTATGTTTATGACTTACGTTCATTCCACTATTTTTCCTAGTGCAGGCATCTTCCATTGCTGCCGCTATTGAAGCGCATACTGGTTCATTTCATCAGTGTGGTATAAATGTGGATGATGGTATAACAGAAGCTTCACTGTCGACATTGCTACCTTCAGTAATTCTGAATGATTTGAAAACATTTGCAAAGGAAATGGACGTGGGTTTCTATTAGAT